GAGATTAACGGAAGAACTTGTATGTATATATGCATAACTCATGGAAACAGACAATAGGGTAATGAAGGCCTGGGATGGGTGGTGGGGGCAGACTAGAAGGGGTCAACGGGGGATAAGGAGGGACATATATAATACTTTCCACAATAAAGATTTAATTTGAAAAATTCTCTCCAGAAATAGAGATAGAAAAAGACAAATTACTAGTATCGTAAATGAGAGATGACATTATTAAAGGTTCTACAGATAATGAAAGGATAGTAAGATTATCATGAACAACTTTAAACCAGAAAACTCAAAAACTCTGATGTAACGGACAAATTCCTTGAAAGATATAAATTGTGAAAGCTTACTGAAGAAGAAATAAGATAACATAACATGAGTAGCCCTATGATGTTTTTAAAAATTAAATTTGTAGTTTAAAAACTTCCCATAGTTAAACCCCAAGTCTAGATGGTTCCATTGGTTTTTCTCCCAACCCCACTGAAACATTGGTGGTTTCTACCAAATATATAAAAGAAAATGCCAATTCTTCAACAAACTCTTACAGAAAATTGTAGAGAATATTCTATGTGAGTCTATAAAGCTAGCATTACTCCGATGCCATTATAAGAAAACTAGACTAATGTATTTTATAAACATGGACACAAAAATTTATTAACAAAATTTAACAAAAACTGAATAGAAGATGATAAAAAGCATGCTACATTATGAATAAATGGCTTTTATTCCAAAAATTCAAGGTTGGTTTAGCATTCATAAATCAATGTAATTTACTATATTAACAGATTCCAGAGAGAAAAACATGTGAATATTTGACTAAATTCAGTAAAAGCTTTTGATAAAACCTAATATTAATAAGTCACTTGGGTATGATATACAACATGGTGACTATAGTTAATACTGTATTGGATTTTGAATGTTGCTATTAGAGTAAATACTAAAAGATCTCATTACAAGAATGGAATGTGTAATTATGTATGGTTATGGGTGTTAACTAGATGTACTGTGGTGGTCATTTCACAATATGTACACTTATTGAATTAAAAAATAAACCCAGAGAACAAAGATGGAGGCATAGGTAAACACCGGAAATTGCTGCCTCCCACAACAACTTCAAAAATACAACTAAAAGACAAAACGGACATCATCCAGCACTACAGAAAAGCTGGCTGAGTGGAAATTCTACAACTAGAAGGAAAGAGAAAAGCACACTGAGACTCAGAGGAGGTGCAGAAGTAAAGTGCACAGGTACGGAGGCGCATGCAGAAAGGGCTGGCAACTGAGGAGGCAGCTGTCTTTTTGAATCGGGAGGGAGACACAAGCTCCCGACTGCTCTGAACTCCAGTTCCAGGAAGTCTCTGGGGACCCAGATTCATACGGGGAGAAACTGGACTGTCTGGCAGTGGGCAGAACTCGGAACACAAGGGCGGCTTTCTCTCAAAGGTGCTTGTAGCAATTACAGGGACACTGTGACGCGGGACCCCATAGGATCAGCCATAGGTGCTTGCTCCGCCCTGTTGATTCCCTGAGACCCCGCCCCACCCAAGCTTCGGAAGAGGCTTTTGCATATGAATGCCCTGGCCCTTTGCAATCTGAAAATTAACTAACAAACTGCAGCTGGTCCAGACAGACCCAGAACTTCCAAGAGAAGGCCCAAGGCCCCACAGCAGCTTGCATTGCTTCACAGCTGGGCCTCATGTTGGCAACTCCAAACCCCAAACAAGGAAGGGGAATCTGCAGATCTCTTCGTAGCTCCTGCTGGGTAGCCTCAGGCAGAGGCTAAATTAGCACCTCCTTAGAGATCCAAGAGCCAGTGTACCCAGTGGTCAGAGAGGGACCATCCAGATTACAACTCCTCAGATCCATAAGGGACACACTCAGGGGGCAGACTCAGTGAGCACCAAAGCCCCACTGAAGCAAGTCTTGCCCCAGAAGGGAGTCTTCAGCAAGAAGTTCTCCCACCGTAGACACAGCTGATTCTCACAGCCAGTTGGCCTGGAGGTCAATTCCTCCCAGTGATACCTACAACAATCAAGGCTTAACTACAACAAGACTGTGCACAAAGCCCACAAGGGGGTGCACCAGGAGTGTCTACCTCAGGTAATTGGGGAGGCTGAGCCACTGGGCCCTATAGGACACCTAGCACACAAAGCCACTCTACCAACACAGGGAAGCATAAAAAATTCAGAGACAAAGAAACAGGTCACAAATGACAGAAATAAAGGAAAGCAAACTACTGGATATAGAGTTCAAAACCACACTGTTAAGGTTTTTCAAGAACTTTCTAGAAACCACTGATAAATTTAGTGAGACCCTGGAGGATATGAAAAAAGACCAACTAGAAATTAAGCATACACTGACTGAAATAAAGAATAATATACAGAGATCCAAGAGCAGACAAGAGGATTGCAAGAATCAAGTCAAAGATTTGAAATACGAAGAAGCAAAAAATACCCAACCAGAAAAGCAAAAAGAAAAAAGATTCCAAAAATATGAAGATAGTGTAAGGAACCTCTGGGACAGCTTCAAGCACACCAACATCCGAATTATAGGGGTGACAGAAGAAGAGGGAGAGCAAGATATTGAAAACCTATTTGAAGAAATAATGACAGAAAACTTCCCCTACCTGGTGAAAGAAATAGACTTACAGGTCCAGGAAGCGCAGAGAACCCCAAACAAAAGGAATCCAAAGAGGACCACACCAAGACACATCATAATTAAAATTCCAAGAGCAAAAGACAAAGAGAGAATCTTAAAAGCAGCAAGAGAAAAACAGTCTGTCACCTACAAAGGAGTACCCATATGACTGTCAGCTGATTTCTCAACAGAAACTATGCAGGCCAGAAGGGAGTGGCAAGAAATAGTCAAAGTGATGAATGCCAAGAACCTACAACCAAGATTACTTTATCCAGAAAACTATCATTCAGAATTGAAGGTCAGATAAAGAGCTTCACAGATAAGAAAAAGCTAAAGGAGTTCATCACCACTGAACCAGTATTATATGAAATGCTGAAAGGTATCCTTTAAGAAGAGGAAGAAGAAAAAGGTAAAGATAAAAATATAAACAGCATGCCAGGGGGACGGGCGGAGGGAGGTGTCGGGATCCCTGTTGGGCGGGGGGGGAGGGGGGGAGCAGCAAAAAAAAATTATGAACAGCAAATACACATCTATCAACAAGAGAATCTAAAAATCAAGTGAATAAAAAATCTGATGAACAGAATAAACTGGTGAATATAATAGAATCAGGGGCATAGAAAGGGAGTGGACTGACAATTCTTGGGGGAAAGGGCTGTGGGGGTGCAGGAAGAGACTAGACAAAAATCATACACCTATGGATGAGGACAGTGGGAGGGGTAAGGGCAGAGGGTAGGGTGGGAACTGGGTGGAGAAGAGCTATGGGGGGAAAAAAGAGGAACAACTGTAGTAATCTGAACAATAAAGATTTAATTAAAAAAAAAAACAGACAAAATAAATAAATAAATAAACCCAATATCTATTATTGATTAAAAATCTAGGTAAACTAGGAAAAGAAGGGAATTTCCCCAACTTTATAAAGAGCATTTTAAAATATATATAGCTACCGCCAAAACTGGTTTGGCTCAGTGGATAGAGCATCGGTCTGTGGACTGAAAGGTCCCAGGTTCGATTCTGGTCAAGGGCATGTACCTTGGTTGCAGACATATCCCCAGTAGGAGATGTGCAGGAGGCAGCTGATCGATGTTTCTCTCTCATCAATGTTTCTAACTCTCTATCTCTCTCCCTTCCTCTCTGTAAAAAAATCAATAAAATATATTTTAAAAAAAATAAAATATATATAGCTACTATCATACTTAATGGTGGAAGACTGAATGCTTTTCCCTAACATCAAGAACAAAGTAAGAATGCCTCATTACTTCTACACAACTTTATATTAGAGGCTCTAGCCTACCTAGTACTATCAAGAACAAAGTTTAAATGCACACAGATATTAAAGGAGAAAATAAAGCTGCCTCTATTAGCATATGACAGGATTATCTTATATATTAAAGAGCTAATATGCAAATGGTCATCACACCCTCAGGTCATCAAGCCCTCACACCATCACGCCCTAACTGCTCAGACACTCAACACTGGGGAGAGAGGAATGGGGACCAGCCAGGCTATGGCCCGGGAGAGAAACAAGCTGCACGCCCTGAGGTCCTGAGCGCCAGTGCCTGTGTCCCAGGCAAAGCCGCCCTCCCACAGTCCCCTGCATCTGCAGCCGGCCCTGCTGAAGCCAGCCTGGGTCCTGGGTGCCTGCAGCCATCCAGAGGGTGGGAAGCCCGGGTCCCGGGTGCCTGAAACCATCCAGAGAAGGGAATCCTGGGCCCCGGTGCGGGATGAGGCAGAGGCAGTTAGGGGCAATCAGGCCATCTGGGGAGTAGTTAGGGGTGATCAGGCACACAGGCAGAGGGGTTAGGGGTAATCAGGCAGGCAGGCAGGTGAGCAGTAGGAGCCAGCAGTCCTGGATTGCGAGAGGCAGTGGGACATCCCTCGAGGGGTCGTGGATTGGAGAGGGTGCAGGCCGGGCTGAGAGACCCCCCCTGCCCCGTGCATGAATTTCATGCACCAGGCCTCTAGTATATGTAGAAAATCCCAAAGAATGTACAAAGAAAATCTATGAGGATGAATCACTGCTAATAAGCTATTTGATAAGTCAGTCAGGAACAAATGAAAACTATTGACTAAAATTAGATATCAAAATTAACTATAGATTTTAATTTCTCGGATTCTCAATCATTCAATAGCACATGTGATTTCTTAGAAAGCTTGATTAATTCTGAGATGAAAATGAAACAGACTAAATATAAAATTGGAGCTTGTTTATCCACAGTCAGGTGAAATTGTCATTTGAAATCAAAATGACCTTAAACAGTCAAATTTCATGCAAATAAAATGAGTTCTACAAAAACATAGCTGGTTATGAAAAGTTAAAGAAAAAGTAAGTTGCAACCTATAAAATTCTCATGAACTATACCTACCTCTCTGGCTCGGAGGAGCTGTGCTTGCTCAATCTTAGACATGACTTCCTGCACTGAGGCAGGGGTCTCAAGTCTTGAGGCCTCAAGGTCCGCTTTGGGTTGGATGGTGTAATCCCCAGCTTTCTTTTCTGAATCAGATTCAGTGTGTGTCTCATTTTTCATTTTGATAAAGTCGAGTGATTTTCTTTTATTTCTTTTTCTTCTTTATTTCCTACTCAGAATATAGGAAAATGGTAATAAACGTGTCCACAAGGAAGCTAGAAGAAGTCTTTCTTGCTCTCAGAGATTGTGGTTTACCTTGCCACTAATTTGTTGCTAACCATGGTGTTCTGGTCCTCATGATGTCATAATAGACCTGTTGTGACATTATCATTGACTCAAACATTCTAAGAGTGTTTACTATATGCAGGGAACCAGGCATTCTATGTGCTGTGATGGTAGAAGGGTGCAGGGCGGAGGGTGGAAAGAACAGACAACTGGAATGATAAAAGAAATAGAAATATAGCCCTGCTTAAATAAGCTTAAAATCTAGGTGATAGAATTCAAGATCCAGTGTATGAAATGTAACTCCTGGTTCTTCTCTCTTCTTGAAATTTTGCTTAGGAATATTTAAGCCTGTAATGGAGTAATTGTGTTACAACTTCCTCAGCTGCCCCTCAACTTTTCCTAGACATGTAATAACTTAGAAGATATTATTTGAATGATGACTATACTCTTTGCACTGCCTAGTTACCTGTCTTTTTCAAGGAACCTGACTGAAGGAGGCTTTGGAGTTCCATAGTTGGCTCCAGAAATGGAAGGGTACTAGAGGTTACTTTCCAACTGAAAGAGGAGTACTTTGGGTAGCTTCTTTGACTGCAGAGGATGTGAAAGGATGTCAGAGGCTGGATAAATTAAAGGACAGTGGTTTTGTTGGCTGTATAGCTTTCTTATTTTTTAATTCAAAAAATATGAAAAAGTACAGAAAGTAAATATTATAATCATGTGTCTGTCACCTAGAATGAACAAATATTAACATTTTGTCATATCTGTTTCAGATCTTTTTTATTATTGATTTGAGAGAGGAATGGAGAGGGTGAGAGAGATAGAAACATCAATGAGAGAGAATCATTGATTGGCTGCCTCCTGCATGCCCCCTACTGGGGATCGAGCCCGCAACCTGGGCACATGTCCTTGACCGCAATCAAACCTGAGACCCTTCAGCCCGCAGGCCAACGCTCTAACCACTGAGCCAAACCAGCTAGGGCTGCTTCAAATCTTTTTAAAAGAAAGCATTAGATATAAGTTGAAGTCCCTTTGATATTCTCCCCAGACTCCTTCCTCCCCCTCTGTCCCTTTTTAGAGGCAATGACTGTCATGAATTAGATATATTTATGTCTACTCTAGTCTATGTTTATGTAGTTTACCACCAGTGTATATATTAATAAACTATATAATATTGTTTTATAGGTTTTACATTTTATACAAGTTGTGGATGTATTACTTAATTTCTCTATAAGAACTTCCAATCGAGTCCTTACTGTAACCTTATTGTAAATTTAGCCCTACATTGAGTCCTTGTTGTAAACTTGTGAAGTTAAACAACTGATATGTTGCAAGCTTTCAGAAAAAAGGAAGCAGAGGATCATAAAGCAGTTGTCTTTTAAAAATATCAATATACAGAGAGCAAATTAGATATTTTTCCTTCTCTTTAAGATCCTGTTGTCTAAGTTAATTCCTGTTTTCTCAAGTCACTTTGTAAACTTTCTGTTATCGTACTTATCTCATTAAAGTGTAGCTATTACTTGTCTCTACCATTAGTGCAAACTCAAAACCAGATGCTGCACTTAGTTTTCTTTTTCTAACATTTGATGTATTCTTTCTCATTTTCTCTACAGATACTGTCTAAATTTGGATCTCTATTATAATTTCAGATTTCTCTCCTTACAGAAACTTTTGTAAGCCCCAGAACATTTTCTTTTTTTTTAATTAAATTTTTTTTTTTATTAATTTCAGAGAGGAAGGGAGGATAGAAGCATCAATGATGTGAGAGAGAATCATTAATTGGCTGCCTCCTGCAAGCCCCCTACTGGGAATCGAGCCTGTAACCTGGGCATTTGCACTTGACCAGCATCGAACCTGGAGCCCTTCAGTCAACAGGCCGACGCTCTATCCACTGAGCCAAATCGGCTAAGGCCAGAATAGTTTCTTTTATTGTTAGACTGCCCATCCTGCCCCTACTCATAAGTTATTTACTCCCTCCTTTTCTGTAAATCACAACTAAATATATTTATTCAAGGAAGTTCATGATGTTTTCTGAAAGGACCATGATTAAAGAAAATTATTTATTTTTATAAATGTGAGGTTTGTGAAAATATCCATCGTTATCCAGCATTTGTCATTATCAATTAATTTAAGTACTTTGTTGAAAACATTACATTGTGAGATCCTCAAATTGTTTTTATTGCTCTTGATTTCTTTACATTGCTTACTCCAATAGGCATTCACAAAGCAGCCAGCATGCTTATCAACTAAACTAATTTAGCATTATTGTGCTCTCATATTTTTTATGCAGCATGGAATTCATCAGCAACTGGAAGATTTTTTAAAGCAAATTTAAAACTCTCTCCTTCCCTTTCAATTGGAGAAGCATTTTTTGAGACACTACTATGTGACTACCATTATCCTAGACTTTGAAGAATATAATAGGGTGCCTGTAAAGAAACAGAAAAAAGAAAATAACAAGATAGAATATAATATTCAAGTGCTAACAAGGGACATGAAGAAGAGATCTGTGGGGAGTACAGTCTTTGGGAAAACCTTATGGAGAGAGAAGGTTGATTGATAAATGAAGGCTTTCCAGATAGGGAAGACACTTTGAGCCATGGCTTTGGAGGTGAGTATTGAGCTTGTATTTCAGGGGGGAAAGTGAGGAGATTGGTTTAATTGATATGAAATAATGTTGCATTTACTGATGATCAGACTAGGAAGAGTATGAGACACAAATATCAACAATTTGATGGGGGAATTGATTTACTATCTAATTGAAAAAGTAAAGAAATTCATTTGAGGTAAAGGGAGATTACATGGGCTCAGAATGGTCTTGAAAGCAAGCAACAGCAGTTTAGTGAAAATGAAACCTTCAGTTTATATAATAGAATGGAAAAAATCAAGACATGATTATTTCAAAAGTGAGTGCCTGAACCAGGATATAGAAGTGGGACTGATGAGGGAGGTATAATAAGGAATTTGGACCATCTAACAGAAAAGTAAGAATTTTTGTTGTTTTGACTGCTCTGCCTGTGGAGTAGCCTTCTGTCTGTCTCACTGCTTCACTAATAAACTTATTTCACTTTACACTATAAAAAAATTTTTTTATATTCCATTTGAATTGATGGCAGAACATCAAGAAGAAGCTATCCAGATTAAGTATGAGAAAGTAGCATGATATTAAGCGGAGATGTGGGTATCTGATTAAAAAAACAAACAAACTAACAAGGGCAAAGTTCCTTAAAGGTGTGTCTAAATGAAACCCGCCCTCCTAGGAGGATTAACTGTAAAATGCGGATAATAACATTTACTGCATGTAATGGTTTTAAGATTACCGTAGAATACTTAGAATAGTGCCAAGCACACAGTAAGCGTTTAATACAGCTGCTGCTATTAATATGTTTACTATTACTGTGGGTTTTTTTCCTTCTCTACTTTTTTTCTGTGAGCCACCACCTTTTCGTCAGGGTTGGCATTCTTTCAGAACACTTCGCACACACACACACACACAAAGGAAAGAAAGAAAGAAAGAAAACATTTCGCACAAGCTCCGCTTTTTATCAGATCTAGGTTTTGAGCTATGAAAACTGCGAAACTGTGGCCGCTTTGCAATGGTTGAAATGCAGTAAGACCCTTACACACCCCCGTAGCACAGAATGGTGCCTTCCCCACCGCTTCCCTCCTCCCCCCGGGACCGACGGTAGTACATCCCAGGCTGCCGCTGGAAAGGAAAAGGTGGTGCCAAAGTGGAGTGCGCCGAGGATTGTCTTTGCTCCCGGAAGCAATTGTTCTTTAGCACAGGAAACAGTAGATGTTTCACGGGAGGTGGGACTGGGCGGGTCAGAACTCAGCGGCTGACGGCGGGGGAGGAGCCGGGTCCGCTGCCGGGTGGTTGGGCCGGGCGAGTGTCCTTATCCCAGCGCTCGGGGCTCGGGCCTGTAAGCCTTTTGGAGTAGCAGCGGCGAGAACGATTGGGTCGAACCGGGAAGGCATGTTGCTCTTCGTGGAGGTGAGTGGACTGGGCTATCTTGTCCTGCCCCAAAGGGAGCGGGAGCGTGGAGGCGCGGGCCGGTCCCACCGCCATGTGACTTTCCAGGCCGTCCACGCCGCGGAGCCGGCAGCTAGGCTGACACAGCACCCGGGCTGCGCAGGCCCGCGGCCCCACTAGCGCGCGCTCGCCCCTGAGGACGCGACGGGCGGGGAGGGCCGGCGCGAGGGGACAGGGAAGCGGGGGGCGCGAGCCCGGTCTGGAGGGGCGTGAGGCTCGGAGGAAGGGGAAGGTGTCCCATATGGAGCCCCTGGCGGAGGCCACCAGGCGCGGGGGGCGGAGCCTGCGGGGAAGGGCGATCAGGTGGGCGCGTTCCGGGGGTGGGAGCGAGGTGCGCGGGGCCCGCTGGGAGAGGCGAGCAACATGTGGGGCGGCGGAGCGAGGAAGGTGAAATTCGGTATGTGTGTTGGGGAAGAAAGTTGCCAGCTCCTTTCTGCAACCCCCACCCAGTTTTGTTGCGTCCCCGTGTCTTGGTCTCTGGAACGTTCTGTGGGTGGAAAGTGAGTTGCTGTGAACCGAGGAGAAGCCAACAGGGTTCGGAAGGTTTGAAAGGCACCGCTTTGACCTTTTGTAAAAGTTACTCAAGCAGCGGCTCCGGGACGAGGACGTGGTTTTTTTTGAACGGCTTCAAGCCCTTTGCAAAGAAAATTCCAAGCATGAGAGGAACCTAAGTCCGGGGAAAGCCAATTTTTGTATCGTTACTTATCGATATAAACGCTTTTTTAAACTTGTAATTGGAACGTCTGCTGTTGGCCTGTTTTAATTTTAGGTAATAGATAGCTGCCTTACACAAATATTCGAGGTTTAATTTCTCTTCTTTCTGTCTTTCTCTTGTGTGCAGTGAGCATCAGCTGACTGCCTGGCT